TCCTGACCACCGGCAGGCTGGGACATAGGAAAACTTCAGTTACAGTTATCAGCATGAAAAAAAATAATTAATGATTCATTTTGTATAACTTTGAATCCAAGTTTTTAAAATCCAATGTGATTTGAAATAGTTTCATCTCAGGAACAATGATTAAGAAAAAAGATTTAGAAAGATAGCCTAAGAAAGAAACGAGTTTGTTTTTGTTTTTTGGTTTTTTGGAGACAGGGTTTCTCTGTGTAGCCCTGGCTGTCCTGGAACTCACTATATAAACCAGGATGGCTTTGAACCAGGAAATCCTCCTGCCCCTGCCTCCCAAGTGCTGGGACTAAAGGCATGTGCCACCACTGCCCAGCATGTGAGTTTGTGTTTTTAAGCACCTATTTTTTTTTTTTTACAAGTTTCTTTTTTCTTTTTTCTATCAAAGTCACACAATTTGGAGCAAAGATAAGAAATGAGGCGAAGTGGCTTTGGGGATCAATGCCATCAAAATGGCTGAGCCTGAGAAAGAGATGACAGCTGAGAGTGTGATGGTTGATGGATATTAGAATGATTCAAGAATGTATTTAAAAGACCACAGTTATTATGCAGAATAAAAAGTTAACTGGCTTGTAGAAGAAACACTAAGAGATCTCAGAAACAAGGAGAGCGTGGACATGTTTCAAGAAGCAGCGGGCAGGAGATATGATGTGTGTGAGAGCTGAAGGAGGTCTATTAGATGTGGATCAGGGGAGACCTCTGAGCAATGAGGGCCTTGACCATCGCTGAGGAAGAAAAGAGGACTTGCATCAGCTAAGCTCTTTTCTAAAGCTGAGCTCTGGGTCCTTAAAACTCGATGGTAACTAAAGACATTTGGATTGAGGAAAGGGATTTTTTTTTTCCAGCAGACACAGACCCAGCATGAATCCTGGCATAAGGAAACAGAAACCAGCACAAGGTTGGGTGGAGCTCAGGGCAATTCTTGATTAATGGCCAATGTAAAGAAAACTCAGCAAGAAGCCAAGTGACAGAACACAGGGAAATTTGTAGGGAAAGTACTGTTGGGACTCATAACTATTGCAAAACCATTACTTGGTCTCAGTCACACACACACACACACACACACACACACAGCAGAAAAAAGATCAATTTTAAAGAAAACTTGTCATCATAGAGACTTCTTGAATATTTTTCAACCACTTCACCCCTCTCCATACACAATATTTCACAGCTTATCTTCAGTGATGGTAAAAGTGAACTGGGCCCAATGAAAAGTTGACTTTAAACTTTTATATGTTTTCACAGGGTAGGGAAGAGCAGCAGTGGCCTGAAAACCCTCTGAACTGTACTGGCTAGACCTCTAGTCTAGTATTTGTTCAAGTCTTATCTCGTTATAACCCAGGCTTCACTATCCAACTAATCAGTGTACAAAATGGCAATTTTTCTTTTAGTTTGTGTTCACTGAACCAGCTTGAAGGTAATAAAGCCACAAACTGGAACTTGTAAGAATCAACTCATTCAGTCTTAAAGTGAATCCCTCATTTACGGGCATGAGATTTCCTATGGGTTGTGTCTAACAAGAATGGTAGGACAGGGTGTGGGATTTATTCATTGATGAAAGTCCCTTGAAATTCCCTGTCATTTCATCAACCCTTAGGAGCTCAGATGTGCATAAATGTTTGCGAAATCTAGAAGATGACAGCCTGAGTTATTCTCAAAAAGGAACACATTGGACTCTCGTTCCTAAGGCGGGAGGTTTACAGGTGTAAGATTTAACTTGTTTTCAAAAATTCCTGCTCTATTTTTTTTATATCAGTGCCATAGTCCATATTGACGTCTAGCACTAGATCTGTGGATCCCATTCTTTCTACATCCACAAATCTTTAGCAAATTGAGAAATAACCAAAGCTATAGTGCAAGATTCGAGGTTAATCAATAACTTCACACGGGAATTATGATGTTGGTTTATATATGACATTAAAGATTAGTGTGCCAAACTTCTTAGCCGATGTGCTAGAAAATTGTTGTCAATGACTTGCTTGCTTTTTTGTCTCACAGAGAAATAGCTCTGATTAGTTCCATGTAGACACAGTACATTCATGCTTCAGGAAATATCAAAATCACATCGACTCAATCATTGGTATTCTGTCAGAATTGGCAATTTCTATATAATACATCACTTTGTTCCAACTTGTGTTGCAACATAATCTCTGATTAAGTATACATTTAGACACCATAATGAACTTAAATGAAAATATATGGATGAATGATGTCCTAAATGTTAAAATAGATACTTCCATGCTCAGAAATGGAGGTGATAGGACAGTAATTCAAAGGCAATGTGAAGAATCTGTGGTAACATAGTCCTATTATCCAGACACTTGGGGTGAGGACAAGGTCATCTTTGGCTACACAATGAGTTCCAGGCAAGTCTGGATTACTTGAGACCCAGCCTTAAAATTAAAAACAGTGCAGCAGGCAAGGTAATAGAGAGAAAGTGACTGCTCAGAGTCACTCCAAGGGGCTGTATTCATGGGAGGAGGGGTTCTTCTTAGGCACTAAGGCAGTATTTCAATGTTCTACCATCTTGCTTGTTTGGGTTTTATCTGATGGGATATCTATGTAGGTCTCCTATCTAGATGAATAGGCAAAGACCTTATTATTTTACTGAGAAATAGTTCTTCAGGGCAAGTTGGTTGTGTTTTTTGCTCCTGGGACTATCTGTGCAAGAAGCTCAGGTTACTAAGGGTCAAACTCCTGAAGGTCTGAGTCTTCAAATTAAAGAGTGGTGTAACTCAAATCTTAAAAGGTCTTATTAATAAAAACAAACCCAGGAGCCAGATATTGGGGTGAACACTGAAAGATCAGAGAACAAGCCACAGCCAACCTCACTTCTCCACTGCCTCAACTGATCCTGTTTCCTCAAACTGGAAGCCTCTGTGTCCTCATCTGAATTGATCTCAGCTGAACTGCTGCTAAAAGCCTAAAAGCTTAACTGGGGCTCTAGTTCCTGGTCCTCATACCTTATATACCTTTCTGCTTCCTGCTATCACTTCCTGGGATTAAAGGCATGTGTCACCATGCCTGGCTATTTCCAGTGTGGCTTTGAACTCACAGAGATCTGAATGGATCTCTGCCTCCAGAATGTTAAGATTAAAGGTGTGTATGCCACCATTTTCTGGCCTCAATGTCTATCTAGTGGCTGTTCTGTTCTCTGGCCCCAGATAAGTTTATTAGGGTACACAATATATTGGGGAACACAATATCATCTCAGAGTGGAATTCTCTATAGTCATGTCATATGACCCTAAGATAGATTGCATCCCGGGCTTGTTAGGGCCAGCGCTTCAGTCCTGCTCTAAGGCAGCAGGGTCCTTGCTCTGATCCCAACCTACCTAGAGTCAAAAATCAACCTTGTTCTGAGGTTAGAGTAACTCAGCATGACTATCCATTACAGAATGATAGCCACAAAACCTTCTACTTAAAAATACATATATACGTGATTTTTTAAAATAATAGATCCATTGTCCTTATAAAATCAGCAAGGTATCATAAGGCTTGAGAAGTGTGGGACTGAGTTTGAATAGACATTTGCTGTTAGTGTCCTTGTGTATCGATTCACTAGATGTCACTAAGGACAGTTTGAATGGAGAATCTGTGATAAAATGGCAGAGTTCTATGCTGCTGGCTTTTATTGCTTAGCACTTTTACTTTATCAGTTCCCTCGTACTCACTATGCTCTCTAGACTTGGAATTCTTCACTGAGAACCATGGTTAACTTCATTGGATACACAGCCTCTGAAGATGGTAACAGAAATTGTGTGCACTCGAATTAAATTTATGTACTGCATCACATGAATGGGCACGTGGCTAACATCATTAGTAGCAGTTGAATAAAGAGCCCTTCACCACAATGTAAGCCGAAAAGGGTAGCCTTTCCTACCAAAACCATAAAAATATACAGAGATACTCGATTCTGGGCCAATGTTCTGCTTCGTTTTCTGTTACAAGAAAGTTTCACATTGTAACTTCAATCTTATCAGAAATTCCTAAAGTAAACAAAATAGCAGGGAATGAGAAACCTTGATTGTGTAACTTCTGCTTTTGCTGGCTAGGAAATACCAACTATCGTTTTCTTAAAACCCACCCCCAAATAACCATGACTGCCTGCCTATTCACAGGTCTCCAAGTTTTGATCTCCTTAGAGGTATTCTTTGACAACCGCTTCTGGCTTATTATCATCATAGACTATACCATTGCTTGTATGTTCCCAATTCTCCATGAAAAAGAGACAAAAATCCTGCTTCCAAGAAGCTTCAGAAGTGCCCCTGCGATTGGGTCCTGCCAAGGCAAAGGGGGGCATTTTCCTCGCCCCTGCCAAGCCTTGCCTTTCCGACCCACGCCCACCCACCCAGCCCAGAACCACGTGGGGCGCGCGCCCTGGCCCTGGCCCTGGCCCTGGCCATACAGAGGCGCGGAGCGGGACACCGCCTTCCTGGGGCTCCGGCGCGCGGCCGCGGCACGCGCTCCGGGCGGGGGTCGCGAGCACGAGGGGGGGTCGGCCCCGCCCATCGCCCCGCCCCTCCGCCCATCGCCCCGCCCCTCCGCCCCTACTCAGAGGGGCGCCCACGTGCCCAGCCCGCCTTCTGCAGCGCAGCGGCGGGAGCTTCTGTCTGCGCCGACCTGGAAGGTAGCGGCGGCTCCTCTAGCCTCCCGCAGCTTGGGATCCCCAGCGCACCGCAGCCGGTCGCTCGCCGGTCCCCGTCCCCGTCTCGCGTCCCGGGCGCTGCCCCAGTAAGTTGCAGAAGAGTGCGCAGGGCGGGCCAGAGGGAAAGCGGTGGGGCGCGGGCGTCCAGGCCGCGTCCAGCTGCGCGCAGCTGCCCCGAGGCCACGCGAGCATCGGGGAGGGGGGGGGGTCCTGCGGGCAGGGGCTGCAGCCTCGGACTCTGGTCCTCCCGGCTGCACCCTGGGCTGCCACCCTCCTCCTCCTCTTGTCGACCCCCGGGGCCGCTGGTTCACTTGCACACTCGAGGCGTGCACGATCCCCGGCGGCCACGCGGGTCGTAGAACTTGGCATAGGGCCTGTCACTGGGACTCCGCGAGTGTCCATAGTCACTTTAGTTCTGGGGGACCCTCAGTATCTCTCTCTCCGAGAGGGCAGCCTGCCTCCACACCCTCCACACGGAGTGGTCCCCCCGAAGTCGCCTTTCAGTCCCTTGGGATTCTTGGTTTAAATTTGGAACAAGGCTTGGATCGCTAGAAGTCTTTTCCCATCCTCCTCTGGATCTGTAAGACAGGTAAAATGACCCACTTGGGGTGGGGTGGGGTCTGTATTGATGTTTTAAAGTAAATGGGTGCAGCATTAAGCGCTTGAGTTGGTCTGTGCCTTTTATCCTATTTCACGAAGCCTTCAACCTTGATTGCCTTAAGACCATCGCTTCAGGTTGTAGCTCTGACTCGTCTATTCCGCCTTCTGTTGCCCATATATGCAGTATGCGGTGTAAGGAGGCAATCCTGTAGTTATTTCAAAGAAATAATGCTCAACAGAAGTCGAACGGTCGTAGATGGCTCTCAAAGTGGAAACTGCCTGCATGCCAGAAGTAAGAGTTAATCCGGCTCAAACTTTAAACTCCGTAAAACTGTCTTCAAAGATCTTTAGGTCATGACTCCTTTGGGACTGAAGAATTAGATCCGTGTGGATCCGTTCTTTGCTAGAATGGAGCTATCGGATTCTAGGGCTTGGGCCGTGTAGTTAAGTGTGTCTGGCCTAACACTTCATTCTTTTAAAACTTATTTTTCTTTTCTACCTCCACATTAATATTTATCTTCTCAGTAAAGAGAAACATTTTGTTGTCTCTGGCTAGGGGCTGTACAGGTGGAGAATATACTATTTTTTATGGTTTTTTTTTTTTGTGCTATTCGATCTTTTTTTTTCTTTTCTTTCAGTTGCACCAAAGTAGCATGAAGACTTGATACACCCGCTCAAAACATTTTTTTTCCCTTATGCTCAAACGTTGCTAGTTGGCAACTGTCCAGGAGTGAATCGTGGAGGCAGGATGACATGTGTTTGCATTTTCCAGCTTTCTCCTTCGCTCCCTGCTCTCTTTCCCTTTGTCTCCTGATTCGTTGAGTGTCATTTCCCTTAAGACATTTTAACCTTTTGGGGATATGTCCCGACCTTGAAGATCAACCACGCTAGAGCTCCATGGTATCTGCAGAGACTCAGTTCGCAGAATCCTGATCTTCACTTGGTCAGCAAAGCCCCTTTGATTCAGTCTCTGGTTTTTATCACAAGGCTTAGAGTTGAGAGCCTGGGAAGAGGAAAGACAGCTAAGAGGGCAACGTGGTCGCTGTGGGCATTTTAAACGTCTGAGAATTGGTTGAGTTTTTTTGTCCTGTATTCCCATATCTCTGGGCCCCTTGAACACACGTGTCTGGAGAGCTTTAAAGCTACAAGCCACTCACCTTTGCAGAGGCATTTGCTTCCTCTCCCTCCTGGGTGGCTCAGTGCCAGCCTTTCATGTTCTTCTCCTACCTTCTAGTTCAAGTCAGTGTTACTTCTTCTGACTTTTAGCCAGGGACCCGCCTCCTAAGTGGCCATTTCATCTTTTTCCAAATATTCTTCCCTAAAGGTTTTCTTTGGTAACATGTCTAGCCCAGCTAATGAGTTAATGTTCTTATTTGGTTGCTCCTGGTGTGTATGTTGGTGGGGGGGGGGGGGTCAGAGCCATCTCCTGGTTTTATCTCGTTGCCTTTCAGAGGCAGCTTTCAGAACAGAATCCTGAAAAAATCCTCACGCTGCTATTTGCTTCATTTTCCCCCAGACATAGTAGGGACATGATCTTGAAGTCTGGTTTCTTAATAGATGACTCCTTGTGTGCCAAATTAGAACAAAAGGAAATTTTTCAGTTGAATGTGTTTCTAAGCTTTCGTGTTTGATACTGTGTGCCAGAGGAATGCTTCTCCATACGTCTGAAAGGCCGTGGGAGCTGTACGACCTCATTCTCGTTATGTTTATCAAACACCTTAGCAAATTTAAATGTTTAACTACTTCTGAACCGTTATGAAAATATCCAGAACTATGTCGATAAAACCTTGAGCATTAATAAAAAACCCATGAAGTGCTTCCTTTTGTGGTTTTCTATTTCAGTAATTTGTTGTTCTATTTCCTCACCTAGTGTGACCTAACACCTGCTCAGTGTGTCTTTATTGTAAAATAGACAGCCGTGATTCCAACAACTTGAGAAAACATGTTTTGTCTGTTTTCTAATGTTCTCATACCGCCACTGAAAACGTATTGGGTCCCCACAGTACACCAGGCATTGGCTGACCCCACACTAAGGACTGCCATCATGGAGGGATTCTGCAAATCATTTTTGCATTTGGGAAACTCTTCCTTGCTGGATTTGAAGAATGGTTTATTGTTAACTGTATGACAGTAACAAATATCAGCACATGGCTTGGGGGCTGTGTACACTCAAGTACCATGATGGCTGTATTGTGACATATGAAGATGGTGCCGCTATTGGGTTATCAAAAGCATGCATGCTGGGTATTTTTGTTTCACAGAGAGCAACAGCTTTACGTTGATCTGCTCATACACCCTTTTACTGGTTCTTCTGGCTTTTGCCTTAGCAGTGGAACTGTGAGTGCTACTTTGTAAAAACCAAACCCAGTAAGGATTCATTTCCAGCAGGCGGCAGCCAGTCAAGACAATCCCAGCTTCTTTTATTCATTTTTCTTGTCTGACTCAGTAAATGTAACTGTTCTGTGCTAATCTGTAGGGGCAGACAGAATACTATTGCTTTTCACATACTTACAGACACTTTTAGACCACAGGTGTCACTTTCTGAAGACTTCCCCTGCCGGAATGACAAAGCATAGTTAGTATCAACTTAAAAAAGCTATCTGAGTTAATGTGGCTTTTTTCTAAAAGACTAGCTTTGAAAGTGTGGCTTCTCCGTTCTTATTGCACCTTTCAGTTTGGATCTCTGCCCTTACAGAGAGCTGGGCTTCTTCATTGCTGGGTGGGTATGGATACAATATGTTGTTGGAAACCTTGGGTTTTCTTAACGAAGGGCTTTATTCATCTGTGGCTGGCTCATCAAGCTGGAGGCTGCCATGTATTCTCTTTTGTGCTTTATGCTTATCTGCCTGAAAAGGAGTAAAGATAAAGTTTAAATTTGTGGAATAAGCTTAAAAATGAAAAGCATGCTTACACATGCTAGGAGGCTAGAATAGCTCTGTGTGTGTGCTGGCCCCTCCCTTCAGAGAACTGACCCTGATCAGAGAATCTGCAGCACAGAGAAGGAATACCCCGTGACCTCTCCTCCAGAAATTAATTTCATTTAAGAAATATTTGTTAAACAATATGTAACAAGGGAAGCTTATGGCCCTTGTTGGGTCTTGCTGGTTGTCTCCCCTGCTGTGGGGAAAATCCTCTTCTTTCCTGAACTCATGCTGGCTTTGAGACTCTGCTTTGTCTTCCCACCATGTCTAATATGGCACGTCTCGGCACTTCTCGGGCCATGGAGATGCCCTTCCAGTGTCCATGAGGTGGGCACAGCATAGAGACCTTGATGTCCTGTCACCCAGGGATGCAGAGCAATACCAGAGTCAGGACGCTCACTTTGTTCTAGTACTTTGCTGGGTGGGAGGGATGTTCATAGTTAAAATAATTTGGATCCATTACACTTAAAAACAGGCGTTTTCTTTTTTTCATACCATCAAATAATAAACCTTACAACTCACGTGTTACTTGTTTTACTTTTTGTGGGGAGAAAAACGGTGCTTGAGCTCATAACCTCAATTATAATTGGGAAATAACTGTGAGGATTTCTTTCTTCACCTTGGCAAACAATGATGGTGCTAGTCACTGGTAGAATTCATAGCTATTTTATATTGAACCAAAGGGAAAAATTAGAGTGTCCTTCCAATTTCAGCGGTATTTATTTAATATGAATTTGGGACAGATTTTCTAAATGCAATACAATTTCTTTAAAAAAAAACAAACAAAAACAAGAAACAAACTTAAGATACTTGAGCAATGGTATCTAGGTGTCACCCACAATGTGTGCTTTGCTAGAGCACTTGGCTCCTCCGGGTCATTTCCCCTGCCTTTAATTCCAATTTATAGAAGGTCTGCGTCACATGAAAGCAACTCAATGTGCTTCTGAAGTTGGCATGCCAAATTTACCTCTACCACTAGGTAAAACTTGTGCTATTTAATAATGACATATTAAGCCAGATGACTGAGTGCAATTTCCCAGGTCAGGATTCCCTTAGAACAAAGCTTTGCAACTTCCCTCCCAAGAATATCCTAGGAGACATTCTGTGTGGAGTTTTCCATGGCTAGAGATTAGTTTATCTATTGCGCATTAATACCTGTTGTAGCTGTGTTTGCGTGTGTGTGTGTGTGTGTGTGTGTGTGTGTGTGTGTGTGTGCGCGCGTGCACGCGCGTCCACATTTATGCTTGGCTAATAGTACACAGAATGTTTTTAATTTGCCCTAGCAGTTGTCCTGATATATATATATAAAAAAAAAATCAAGGCTAAGCATGGTGGAGCACCTTCAATTCCCAGCCCAGCACCAGGAAGGCAGAAACACTCAAATCAAATGAAACACTCATCCTGATAGTTTGTATCAACTTGGAAATTAATTCCTCCAGGAGGAGCCTGTTTCTGAAGCGTCAGGTGGCTCTGTAAAGCACTGTTGCCTGCTTTGTGGGCTACTTTCCGCTCGCGAAACATTTATTCAGGGGAAGAAAGAAGAACCCATGGCCACAGCAGCTAGCTCCTCTTCACAACAGTGGCTTGTAACATGTCTGATGAGACTTACAGATATGTTGTGATAAGTTTTTCTCTACCCATCCCACCCAGTTCCTTTCTCCATAGAAAAGAACGCCGATCCCTGACCATCTTGCGTGAGATTTCTGGACATTCAGAGTCTCTGCTTCCACCCAGTAGACAGAGTTTCTACAAATCGGGATAAGAATCCCACAATACACAAGCCACTCCTGATGGCTTGGGGAGGTGCCTGGAGAGATTCTGTTGAGTCTACATGGAGCAATCTTGGTCATACATTCTGTCTTCCTTGATGCTTTAAGATGACCTACAGATTTCAAGGTGGGCAATAGCAGTTGGGGACCCACTGTGAGATCAACTGGTAAAAAGATAAGGTTTTTCCATCCCCTGTAATTGATGTGATCACTAAAGCAGAAGGGACTGTACTGAGTAGCCTGGAGTTTGAGAACAGCCCCACCCCACCCCCAGAAATTATATCCAACTTGATACAAAC